TTATAACATTACAATCAGTGCAATGTGAGAAGACTTTTCTATTTAAAGTTCATCAGGAATTTGTGAAATGCTAATCACAATGCTGAGTTTAAGTCTTGCTGGAGGTAGACTTGTCACAGATATCAGCTCCTGAAGCCCAAATTGAAAAATAAAAGAAGTACTGTTATGATTTCTTAATGATGGTGAAAAAGATTGAGGTACTAGAAAGGGATCAGTTAAGGTAAAGGAAAATGTAGCAATATGCAGGTACATGAGGAAGAGGAGCACGACAATAAGCACCTGAGTGATGAGTTCCCGTGAGGCTCAGCTTGTGTAAAGCCAGAACAAGATTACAGGACAAGGGGGAGGTCATAAAGTCTCTGGAGGACACTCCAATGATAAGAGGATGCAACACTGCAGCCAATGCTTTATTTCTGGGAGAAAGAGGCTGGGTGTAATTTGCACTCACTGAAATTCACAAAGTTTAAAAGTATAACTTAATAAATGTTGACAAAAATATCCCTCAAACCCTCACTGCTAACAAAGTCAAGAACTTTTCTGTCACTCTAGGAAGGGTTATGGACTTCTAAAAAAAACAAAAATAAAAGCAAAAACACCTCTCCCTCCATTTCGGGCAATCAATGCTTTACTTTTCATGAACACACAGATATACATTAGTTTTGTATGTTTTGAACTTCAGGTCAAGAAAAACATTATACAATTTCATGTCCAATTTCTTTCACTCAAGTTCTTGTGATTCACTGCTGTTACAAATATCAAAAATTCATCCCTATATATTATGAAACACATTATATTGTGTATTTTACTCTTTCTTCAACTGATGAATTACTGAGTTGTTTCCATTTTTGTTATTATGAAAAAAACAACTATGGACATTCTTATACAAATCTTCATGTAGACATTAAATTTTTTCTCTTGGGTGTATATCTAAGAGTAGAACTGTTGGACAAGCATATATTTAACTTTATAAGAAATTTCCAGGCTATTTCCCAAAGTGAAAATACCACATTATACTCCAACAGCAACATAAGAGTTTTTATTGCTTTAGATTCTCACCAACACTTGGCTTTATCAGTTAAAAAAAAAAGATTTAACTTAAAAATACTTTGAGAAAGAAATAATTCAAAGTTAGAAATTATGCACAAATATTTACATTGTGCTGGTAGCGAAAGCATTATTACAAGCTGTAGTCAGAAGGATGCTCTAAAAATTTATGGATCATTGTATAGGCAAATTAAATCACTGGCACTCATCCCTGCCTTTCTTTTGTAAGTCAGTGTATATTTTCCTATTACTTCAGTGGGAAGTAATATGAATAGTTGTCAGAATGCTAAAATAAAAACTTAAATGTTTTAGTGTGCTAACTATAAATGCAATAGACATTAGTATGGATCTTATCTGCAAATTATTTTGCAATATTTTTTCATATTCAAAATTTCTTAGAGCACGTAAGAAGACTAGAGATTGAAAAACCTAAGAGTTAAAAGCCTCTTCCAGTCAAAAGCTAGAAAGAATATTACCACACAGTCAAGGAATTCCATAAGAGAATATATCTAGAGAAAATTAAAACATCATACCACAAACATACTTTCACTCTCATATTTATTACAGAACTTATTCAGTAGCTAAAATATGAAATCAACCCAGAGGCTCTTCTGTGAAGGAATGGATAACAAAAATATGGTATATATTAAATGAAATATTATTCAGCTGTGAAAGAAATCAAGTTCTAACATTTGTAACATGGATTGAACTGAAGATTATGTTAAGTGAAATCAATCTGACACAGAAAATAAATACTACATCTACCCAGACACTGGTGAAAGCTAATACATCAATCTTGAAGAAGCATGCAGTGAATAGTGGACTAGAGATGTAAGGACTAGGGGACTGGGATGGAAAGAATATCAGTAAGAGACACCAAGATACAGGGGAAAGTAAGTATTTCTAGTTTTTCTCTTACATAGTGGGTGACTAAGGGATACAGTATATATTTAAAAATGAGCAGAAGTACAAAATTATAGGTACAAAAATCATTTATGTTTTAATAAATGGAAATGCTTGTGTCTCCTACTTGATTATTGCACATTGCATACATCATTGCATACATCACATTGAATCATCATAATGAACCCACAGATATTGTTGTGGTTTAGATCTGAACTCTCGTTTGCTCCGAGGTGGACCATGAGACGCTAGAGCTGAATGTGTTGTTAGGAGGTAGGGTCCTGTCAGAAGAGGTAGGTCACCTGGGGCAACACTTGGAAGGGAATGTCTTCATCCTGTGCCCTTCTCTTTGCTGTCTACTCCTGATCATAGAAATGAGCAGTGTTGCTCTGCAGGAGGCCCTTCCAGTATGCTGTTTTTCTCTAGGAACCAACTGACTATGGACTGCAACCATGAACTAAAATAAGACTCTCCTCTTTTAAGTTTTTGTTAGGAATTGTTTGCCAGTAAGAAGGAAAATGACTAAGATAGATGTACAAATATTCTGTCTCAATAAAAAATAAATATTAAAAAAAAGCTCACAGTGGGCGAAGAGGGATGTGGCTTGGAGGAAGTCATATATTCTTATAAACAATTGAAACATACTACATGAAAAACATTTCCAATTGTGGAAGAATTTATCTTTGCTGCACTCTAGTTTTCTTTTCTGTAACTGGAAATGAGATTGGACAGGAATAAGGAGAGTAGACACAGAGGAAACAGAAAGAAAGATCAGTCTGGGGTCTGTAGAACGCTGAGGAGTTAGTGTAGGGAAGAATATGGGATTATTCTGAAATTTGGGATGTAAACCCCATCCGAATTTGTGGGGGGCAGGATGTGTGCCCAGAAAAGTTTGTAGAACTCTGACAAGCCTGCTGCTGTCTCAAGGCATTTTTAATAGATCTACTTAGAAAGGTTCTGTAATTAACTCCTTTGCCTCAGTGAGCCCAGCTGGTACAGGTCTCTGCTCCTGGAACAGCTCTTGAGTGTGTGTATACCAAGCAGACATTACTTTATGACTTCATAGGATTGTGGTTAGAAAAGGTAAAAATATCATTCCTTATAAACAGAGCCCAACTCTGACAGCCCAAAGTACATGAAACTCTTGCTGTTTATTAGGAAGAAGAAACAGCATTGCTTTCTGTCTCCACACTGATGATAAAAGACAATCTTCCTGACACAACTGTTTTGTGAAAATAAAGTTGAATGCCTAAACACACAATGGAGAACACGCACAGGTAAGGTTTATGAACCATGACTAACCTTGTCTCTGTGTATTTTAGCACATCCTCCCAAGATGACCCACTGTTCATGCTGTCCCAGTTTAATCTGAAATTAACCTTCATGATGCCATTTCCTGTGTGGCACCTGACTTTGAGTGGTGTCATTGTCACACAGTGATCTGGTTCACTAGTTCACGGTGTTCATTTGGACAAGTTACCACTAATGTGTCTATGCTTCAGTATCCTCGACTGTGAAGGAGAAATGACCCTGTTAACAGCATGCCTCCCTGAGGTGCTGTGATGGACAGCCAATACAATTTATTGTGGAACATTTTACCTGATGCAAAAAAAAAAAAAAAAGGAGTTTTTATGGGAAAGTTATATGACTTTCTCTCTAGCATCACATAATGGTTCAGAGAGCTTGTGTATTGCTTTATAAAAACATTTATTTAGAAAGTGCCTGGACAACCTTAAACAACCAGTGTTTTCCAGTATAAAATATTAAGGCTACTTTTATTACTTTTGCTATCATCAATTATTGTTATTATTTTTACTGTTGGAAAAATGAGGATAGAGGATTTTCAAAAGTATAATGAACCAGTTGAGCCATAATCCATTATTCTGGCCCTCCCATTAGCTCATCCATCCTGAAATCTCAACAGGTGCTTATGATAGATGTGAGACTAATATCCAAGAATCTCCCTATCCACAAAAGAATAAAATAATTAAACTCAAGCTCTGAATTTGATTTCAACTTAAGACATCTTTGGCGGCTTGGTTAGACTCTAACAGCCCCACTAAAAGAGGAATTTCATTCTACTTAACTAGTCAGCCCGAGCGAAGAACAGGGAGAACTTGGAAGAAAGCTAAGCCCCTGCCTGCAAACCTGGTGGTGCCTGGGCTAAGGAGAGAAGGAAAGCACCCTCCACCACCCCCACGCCCACCCCTGTGAGCAACCACCTGATGGAGAAGAACTGTATTGCTTGACTGACTTTACAAGCCTAAAGCCAAGCAACTATTTAGAGGACAGCAATATGCAGTATAGTAACGACTGTAGGTTTCCAACTGTTTTATCACTGTTTGATTCATGTTATTGTCCTGTTTTCTTCCCTTTAAAAGTAAATAAAAAATAACTATGATGGGAACTTCAGTTAAGTAAAATCATCCAGCTCCTCTTAGAGCAGAATAAATACATAATTGTATTTTTGAAAGTAAAAACAAGAACTTAGACAAAAACTAATGAATAAGGAACTAAATCCCAGTTCTAGAAATATTAGAAAGTTTCATGATAGTGATGACGATGGCAATCAACTGATGCTTAGAGTTTCTGGGAAATCTCTCCATGTGGTGTGATGTTGGATTTTTTACAGGCAATATCCCCAATTCTTAGGAAAAATTTTTATAGTGTAATGCTTAATCTTTAGATGGGAATATTCTGATTTTGCCAAGTCATGATCCAGATCCACCTCTGAACAAATATCTTGTGCTTTTTCTACAAGAGCAGAGCATGCCCCATTGGACTATACTACTTAGCAAGTAGATATAAATCATAATAAAAATAATTACTCAGATGAATTAAACTGAATTATTGAGGGTTTTTTTTTTTTGTCTTTTTCGTTTTTATCGGTACCAAGGATCAAACTCACGACTTCCTGCTTGCAAGGCAGGCGCTTATGCCGCTTAGCTAAATCCCCAGCCCCAGGTTTTTTTTTTTTTTTTTTTTTTTTTTTAATGTGACTCATGACCTGGTGCTTGGCAGGCAGGGGCTGTGCCACTGAGCTGTATCCTCAGACCAATATGGAATACATCACGAATTTGTATGTCATCCTTGAGCCGGGGCCATGCTAATCTCTGTATCATTCCAATTTTAGAATATGTGCTGCCAAAATGAGCACAATTAATCAATTTTGTATGGTTATTCTTCTTGGTAGTTCATTTCAGAATGTTTAATAATTGTATTATAATATTGTAGAGGTAACTATAATAGATAACATTATACAAACATAATTTATTATGGAACACTTATTTGGAGAAAAGGTAGGACCTGCGTGTTATAGATTGCAGGATCAATAATATTCCAGGGAAATAGTTTACTATATCTATTTGTACCTGATCTTGCAGACTAAATATACTCAAAGCAGTGGGTCTAAGAACTCCAAGAACAAGGGTTAATAACAATATGATTAAAATATATTCTTTATATTATGCTTATTTAGGAAGAGAAAAATCTCTTGGTTTTATTAATTTATTAAATTTTAAACAAAAGACTTGTCTTTAAAAGAAAACACAGAAAAATAGGAGGCAATATATGCTTTGACTATGCTAACTTAGCTTCTATGTAGCAAACTTGATACTTCCATTATGTTTTTCTGACATATTTAAAATTTATTCTGAGGCAGAGTCAGACCCATTGATGCTGTATCAGTGAGTGTCTTAATAGAGAAACAGATATCGCATAAGATATAGAGAGGTATAAGAAATTACCAGACCGGCTTACAATGGTCACCCACAGAGCTGGAAGTGAAAACAGGGTGTCTGCAAAGTGGAGGCTTAAGAATTCAGTCCAAGGTCTGGAGTCCATTGCAGGGTCCATGCAAGTCTGTATCAGGAGGCTGATGGATCTGTGATGAAAAGCAGAAGAGTCTATGCTAGAAGGCTGAAACATCCATAGCAGAAGCTGAAACATCTGCACTGGAAGCCAGGGGATGATAGCCCAGCTGGAGGTGAAGATTGGAATTCCTCCAAAGGACAGATCTGTTGTTACTCATTTCTCCTTTATTCTACCCTAGTGAGGAGTCACCATGCGGTGGGTGTTCTTCACCCAAGCGTGCCGAGTTGATTCAAACTTCTAAACTTCTCAAATTGATACAATCAGTCATTACAATAGCTTAAGTCAATATGGATGCCAATTTTTCTGATTTTGTCCTTTTCCACCAGACAGTGACAAGTATTTCACTTTTTCTCTTTCAGTTTCCTAAAGTGTTGACACTAGTGGTGATCACAGGACACATATCCACTGTAAGGCATAAATGAAAGATTTTTGTGGTAGAATTAATAACCCCAAAATATTCTTTTAGAGTTATGATTCGTTTTTAAGAGATGTGAATAATGTATAAGAAATCACTAATGCACAATTTGATGAGTTTTCAAAAATGTACAATCGATTGACTTCTATCACATACAATTAAAGGACCCCTCACCCCAAGTCCTTTATATCTCTGTGGATAAACACTTTCTCATCCCTTGACACTGTGAAATGGTTATCTACTTTCTTTTATAGTAGTTGTTTTCTGGATATAAAAAAGGAATCATGCAGTAGGTTATCTGTGATCCAGTTACTTATTCAGTGCTATGTTTTTGAATTTCACTTATCTTTTTGTATGTAACTGTAGTTCATTTCTGTTTTATTTACTAAATAGCATTTCCTCATATGAACACACTGTGATTATTGGATCAATTCACTAACTTGATGTCCATTCTAGAATTTGGCTATTATGAATAAAGTAGCTGTGAAGATTCAAGTACACGTATTTTACGACATATTTTCACTTCTGTAAAGTATCTAGTAGTTAAGGTTTTGAGATCATTTTGATACTATCAAGCACTGCTTTTAAAGCAGTACCCAGCTAAAGACACCATATTTGTGTCATGCTCTTTTTCCTCCCTGGAGGACTGCAAAGTACCACAGTTTGTGTGAATTCTAGCTCTGTCTTGCAATACTCCTTTTCAGTCTCTCTCCTCTCAGCCTTGTGGGCTTTTTCACTTCTTTGCACAGACCTCTGTTTAGTTGCAGGATGGAGGAACCTCCCGACTGTTCTCCAGTGCATTATTGGGGTGTGGTGTCTCCTCTTGCAGATCGAAATGGCTCTCTTCACGAACTCTCATCTCTAAGTGCTAAACTCACTGAGACTGCCATGTTCCTCTCCTGCCCCTTGCTCTGCTGTGTGGCCTGAAAGCTGTTTCTTAGTAGTAAACTGGTGCAAATGTGGTAGTCATTTTGTTTAGTGTTTGAAAAAATCAGCCCACAGGCTTACATTTCCTTTTGTACAATTCCTTGTTTAGAGTGAGAACAGAATCGTCCTCCCAGCTATTCTTCATGGCAGAAGTGTACATCCATGTGTCAGTTTGTAATTAACTGTGATAATGGAATGGAGAAATCAGTTGGAAAGTAAAAATATTATGTGTCTAACGTAAACATATAGTAAGGTATATGCAAAACTTTGAATTTTCTTCTTGATTATCATGTTGAATGCTGAATGATTTGAGGAAAGAAGTCGTCCAAAAACATTCTAGGTAAGAAAGAAATGTATCATAATTAATTAATTTAAAAGTTTCTAATTAATGTTAATGATAGTTTGCAATTTATACATGATAATAACACCATAAGTTGTACATTATCTAGGTTGTGCCTCCTAACAACTTTAGCTTCATTGAAATCTTGCTTTTCATTTGTAGATATGAAAAGTGAAATTCAAAGATGAGTGACTGAACCAAAGTCATGAGATAGCTGAAAGTTGAAACAATCAATTCATCAATTAATTCAAAGCATAAACATTTGCTAAGCATTTAGTCTGTGCCTGATTGACTTGAGTTGAATCTATAAAGAATGGAACATAATTCTCACACTCATGAAGTTAACATCTTTCTGGGAAACATTTAAAACAATATAGAATTTGCTAATGAAGACAGGTATCCAACCCAGGTTTGAGAAAAGAGATTAGAGAAGAATTCCTGGAGGAAGTAACATCTGACTGAATATTGGGGATGAATAGAACTCAGATAAAAGTGCAAAGTATTGCGAAATAAAGGGGTTCCACTCTGTGACACTTTCTCAGTTCTCTCTAATGCAACTTCAAATCTGTTTTTCTACTTCTACTTTTGAGAACAAGATATATCTTTAGCCCTAATAACTCTTCAAATATTTGGTTTGGTATCTACCTTTTTACGTCTCTTCCACTGTTTTAAATAATAGATGTCACATCACATAGATTTTGATACTTAAATGATATGGCTGCAACATTAGTTCCTGGTATTTTCCCCCCAAGAAATAATGTTATACTTTTTTCCCCAAGTCCCTGAAAAGGTTTCACATTTTTATGATCCAATTTTATAAACATTCTTGAGTTCTCTTTTGACATTAGACATTTACTAAGTGCTGCGGGGGATAGAAATATGATTAAAATGTATTTCTTTTCCATAAAGTACTGATAATATAGCAGGATGATTCAGGTATAGCACCAGCTACATTATAAGTAAAGATGAAACTGTCAAGGAAAACAATATTCTAAAGGGAGGTCAATACAAGGGGAAAGTAAAATTCATTGAAAAAGAATTAAAAGGCTTTCTGGTAGAAGAAAATTTTATGGATGTTAAAGAATGTTTAATATTGATAGGCAGAGAAATATGAAGAACACTCCAAATATGGTAAAATGTGCAACTGGAGTATGAGTAACAATTGGAAAAATGGAGATAATAAGACCAGAAAAATACTGCATTTCAGAGCCTTAAAAACTATGCTCAAAATTCAATATGTAAGGCCAGGATATAGCTCAGTAGCATGGTACCTGTCTGGCAAGTGTAAAGTTCTGAGTTCAATTCCATGTACAAAAAAAAATCAGTATATATTTTAGTTGATAATAGACCACAAATTTTGCAGGAAATCTAAGAAGAGTTGATTTTGAAAGATTATTTTGGCAATAGGATGTATGATATATTGGAATTGGTAGAGAATATTAAGCATATCCTGGAAGCTAGTAGGATTTTAAATGAAAAATTGAGGAGGTATTATACTAGAATTGTCATGTGACAATGAATGGAGGGGTCAAACTAGCCATGGTAGACATTCCCAACTGGGGATATTTCTCAGTAGCGTATATACTTAACATTGTTTTTGACCTGTGTTCAGTCCCCAGAACAGGAATGAATAAATAAATGAATGACATTTTCAAAGTGAGTTTACCAACCAAATGAATACAAATTATCATGCATAGGAGAAGAAAGAGAGGAACAGGGCTATGAAACATGATGAAGGGATGATAACCCCACATATGGGAACAAGGAAGTCTATATAATCAGGGCATTTGGGCATCTGAAAGATTTGGTCGGTCTTAAGATGGTGAGATACAATAAGTTCCTGGAAGGGTTATATTGGAATTTTGGAGAAACACTAGGCTTTGTGGGAAAAAAAAAATGAGACTCCAAAACGCACAAATAGAGAAGAAAAAAAGATCTAAGAACGCATTCAAGTGCTAGGTGTGGTGGCACATGCCTATAATCCCAGAACTCAGGAAGCTGAGGCAGGAGGATCTATGTGAGTTCAAGGCCAGCCTGGGCTACATAGTGAATTCAGGGCCAAACTGAACATGCATAGTGAGACCTTGTCTCTAAATAATTTAATTAATTAATAGAAAAAAGGAAAAAGAAATTTTTAAAAGAACTCAGTAAATGTTTCATATATTGCTAAACAATTTTTAGCATTCTTGATTTCTTCTAATTTCAGTTTCCTGTATCATAGAGCAACTTTTTTCCATGGTTAATAAAAACTTTAAATATAAGCTATCAGTCACTTATTTTAACTGTTTTTAGATGTTCTACATTACAATTTTTTAAAAATGTAACCTACTGGGAAATGTTAAAAAGTTTTTGTTCAGTCCTTTTGAAGTTGTAAAGTTACTGAGCTTGTGAGTCTGGATTTTCCTTTTTGCATTATGGAGTAATTATCCCAGAATTTTCAAAATTGTTGAATGAGATAATAATTTTGGGCCAAGGATTTAGTTCAATGGCCTAGACACCTGACTGGCAAATGCAAGGTCATAGGTTTGATCCCTGGTACAAAAGAAAAAGAAAGAAAGAAATAAAGAAAGAAAGAAAGAAAGAAAAGAATTTTTTAAAAAAT